GTGTATCGGAATCAGATCGGAACTGAAAAAATGTGGATCGGCCCATCCCTAATATTAACATATAGTGTGTTTTGAGTAGGGTTGAACAATGCTGAAAAAAAGTTCACACTGCTATATTTGATTCCCAATATTTAAGAGTTGAAATTTATCTAGACAATCAATTATTATCTACCAACAAAGTCTGTCAAATAAGCTGTTATGATGTTTGTCCTGGGTATGACGTTAAACTGTATCCGGCCCTGCAAGCGGTCCTCAAACTTGCATGGAAATACTTGGGAGTTGGTGGCAGGATTGGCACTCAAGCCAGCGTAAAAACTTCACACAGCTCCGACGAAGTAGACACAACTCTCTTCTGCTCTCGGCGGGAGCAGCTCTGCTGCAGCCGCCCACAGGAAGGCCACACACATAATGAAGGGGAAGGGGGAAAGTCCTCAGGAGCCTCATCCAGGGAAGAGAGGAAACCGCCGGACAGCCAGTGGGGTCAGGCCTGTCAGGGAGGGGGACTGGTGTGGTGCTGAGGCGTCGCCTGCTGCACATCAGCACTCAGGTCCCAATCTGAGGCGGCCCAGCCGGGTGGCACGTGGGACGTCTGGTCTCTCTGGAATGATAACCACCGTCCTCTGCTGTCTGAGGAGCTTTGTGCAGCTTCACTCAGTTGTTGATAGGTGCCCACGAGGTGACACTGGTCTGGTCATGGGTGACTTCAATGTGACCACTGGCACTGGCAAAGCTGGCTATGAGGATTGTGTAGGTCCCCACCAGTCTGCAACTGTGCTGAAACTAGCTCCATTTTCCTTAACTTTGCAAAAAAGGTCAGGGGCTGCGGGGTCGCTGGATCCTGGTTCCAGCGCCCTGATCCACATTGTTGGACTTGGTACTCCAAAACTGGTGGTAGGGTGAAGGAGACTGATCACATCCTCCTGGACAGATGCTAGAGGCTCCTACAGAACTGCAGGGTCTACAAGAGCGCTCAGTTTGTGAATTCTGACCATAGACTTGTTGTTGTTACTCTGAAGAAGATTCAGTTTAGGTCCAGTAGGCTACTGCCTACTAGAAGAATGAAGCTGAACCTGGCCCGACTCCAAGATGAAGCTGTTTCATTGAGAAGATATTTTCACAGCGATAATATTCGATATACATGAATCACAATAAGCAAAATAATTTAGCAAAAAAGTCAAATGAGCAAAAAAATAAGTCAAAGTGATGACAAAGACAGGCTAAACTACTCCAAGAGGCTAAATGGGACATATGTATGGCTAATCTGGCATTAGTGGGTGAGTCATTCAAACCAGAATGTCTTCTTTTAAGATGTAGGCCTATTGCACTGTAGTTGTGCTGTGCTAAGATTGAGATTTAAGGTCTGCTTTGCAATACTGACAGACAGCTGCATTCTAATTCACTTTTAATGTGAAGTGTTTCCACACGATGATGCTTTCTCTCTTTATCTGGACCCTAACCCTGCATGTGCAGTCTTCCTTCCACCATATTGCTGAGTAATCAAGAAGGAAGTTTCTAATTGATGTGTTTTAATAATCGAGTAGTTGGGACAGGTTTAAAACAGACATAGCTCAAACTCTGTTATAAACTTTTTGCATGACACCACCATAACAGGCTATAGCTAGGGATGGGCCGATCCATGTTTTGTCAGTTCTGATTCAAATCCAGTACAAAACTGGCAACAGCGTCACTTACACTTTGTCGTGATTTGGTTTTCAGTTCAGCCTTCTAACCTATGTTTCCAACTAAATTAAAAAAAAAAAACAGATATTGCTTTTATTAACTCCTACAGTACACAAAGTACATACAAATGTCAGTTATAATGGTGGTACTCGCCTAGGGTTTACCAAGTTTGTGAACCACTGTTTTACATGGTCCGTGACATGGTTTTTTTTTTATCATAATTAAATCTATTCAGCCAGTTTCCACAGAGACTGAAAGATCATGATTAGCACTGCTAGTCAGCATCCATATACAGATTATCCATATATAATTTTTTTTCCATGCTTATGTTTTTTTTTTCATTTAAAAAACATTTGCACTTGGTTTTTTTCTTAAATCACACACTCAGCGACCCACTAGCTTATGGGACCATAAGCATACAGACCACAAGTCTCAGGAACTGTTTCAGCTGCATAGATTCAGCTCCACAGCAAAGCTAACTGCACACAAACCCTGCTACAATCAAGACTTGAACACTCTATTCCCCTGGTTACATCTCAAAAGTCATCACTTGGAAATGGAAATGCCTAGTTTTTGTCTATATGGTTTGATTTTCTGCTGATACAATCGTTTATCATTAGCCACTGTACTTATTAACTTGCATTAACTTATGCTAAATGAAATTAAATAATAAAAACAGTGACACCAGTGGCCAATAATATAATTAGATGAATTTTAAATAAGAAATAACAATAATACATTAATATATTATATCATAAACATATACAGGTCGCATGAGTCTCGTGAGAATTGCGTAGTGACCGCTTCAACCGAATGAGCCGAACTCGCTTGTCGATTGCCGAGAGTCGGGAAGTAGTAATGGCCTAAAGCAGTGTTTCCCCAACCCAGTCGTCGGGGAACCCCGGACAGTCCACGTTTTTGCTTCCTCTCACCTCCCAGCGCACCTGTACCAGGTACTCAGTGTTCCTGATTGGCTGGGAGCTGGGAGGGAGCAAAAACATGGACTGGCCGGAGTTCCTTGAGGACTGGGTTGGGAAACATTTGAAAACCGACTCGACCGATTCGGAGGAATGAACCGGACAATCAATCGCTTGGATAGTTGCTTTTGCCCATATCGCGCTGTAGTTCGCTTTAGTCTTGTTCTCTCCAACTGAAAATCGCGCAAATACAAATGCGATTCCGCCTTGCATTGGACTTGGGTACTGATATATTAGTAGCCTTAGAACAAATTCAGTTTGTATACATCTCTAAAGGGTCTTGGGCTGCTCGATATAGGTTGGGTACGTGTTTGTTGGATACCGTTCACAAAATTCCCCATTTGCCTTTTTAATAACTCCTGAGCTGTTTTTGACTCACGGTGCCGACTCCTATTGTGCAAGACAAGCCTACAGACTTACAGTTTTAATTTATTATTCCTTTGGGTGTGCTCCATTAACACATTTAAGCAGAAAGTACACAATAAGCACAGTACATAATAAGCAGAGTGTACATAATATCCATGGTCCTGTTTATGTGCCCTATATGCCACTCATGTAATAGACACACGTTACACATCACAGACACATGAACTGTCCTAATAATTCAACTTAATTTATCCTTCCCCCCCCCCCCCAAAAAAAAAAACAAAAAAAAACGCTTCCAACAAAACTATCCGTTAAAAATGGCAAAGGAGAGTTCACCATAACAATTACAGACAACGATTATACACCATCGGTTTTACACAAAATTAACTTATATATAACAAATATATAAGCGATTCGAGCAGGAAATTGACCTGAGATCCATTTAAGTCCATCAAAGGCTCCATTTTAAAGCAACGACAGCACTCGCTGGACCATCAGTTCCCCCCTTGCCTCCTTTATTTAGCTCACCCACAAAGTTTTTTAACCTGTTGTGTCAGCAAAAAAAACTACCGACTTATCCACATCTACATCACATACAGTCGCTATTCAATAAGACAAAATCACATCACATCGGTATTAAGCTGATCAACCGGTTAAGAATCCACATGTAACCCGATAAAGTTCCCGAAAGCACTTTAAAATGACAGCTAGATCCCAGCTTATGTGTCTATGCTGCGTTACCATTTTTAGTTAAATTGTCAAGTCAAAAACAAAAATTTTGTTATGTTATCCATATTACATATAAAAAACAGAAAGGAAAACAAAACTGACTAGAGGGCGGATGTTGGAAACGGCCACTGTGGGTTAAGCGGGTTGAGAAACATTGTGAGAAGCAGCGGTCAGTTAAACAAGTCTTACAAAAGCAAACTTTAAAGGGGGGAAAACGTTACCTTTAGCTGCGACTTGGACACCTTCCCGCTACGGTCCACGTCCAGAGCCGTGAAGGCATGCCATATGGACTTTAAGAGCTCGTCCCTCAGACCCATCTCGCCCTGTGCTGCCCGCCGAGCGACAGACCGCGCGCTCCGTCCTGCTCCACGAAATTCGGAGTCCACGCATAGAGATCAGCGGCGGTCATGTGACCTAGAGGCGCCGCAGCTGCAGATGCGGCTTTCAGAAGCGCATCTAAGGGGAACGGGGACCTTACGGCAATATCTAACCACCCTTGTATACTAATTTCTCATAAATAAAAAATACAGGATACACGCTTTTCAGAAAATCTGGAGATACAAAGCTTAACTCTCATAACCGCGCTTAAAAGCACACTTAGGATAAATCTGCTATGCAAGTTACTATTTACTGCTCTGTTACTGCTGTTTATTGTTCTTCGTTATCTGTTAAAACTGCAGGGAGGTACGCAAACAAACATTTCATTGTACTTGTGCAAATTACAAGCTTTTGAATACTTTGAATCCAGCTTTACCATAAAACGAAAGATGACATCTTGGCGACTGAACATGAAATTAACCAAATTAACTACCGCCCATGTTACGATTCGCGGGAACCCGGGTGTTGCACAGAAAACGGGGGTCTTAACGGCAAAGCGGCCAAAAGCATAACAGAAAAATATGAAAATCTTGGGCTTCCTCATAACGCCATCTTCTGGAAATGAGTCTGTACATCATGCTTAACAGGTGTTCCTAGATTCATTTAGTACAACGTTGTTCAGAAGATCAAAAAAAGAAACATCAGATTGAAACGAGTAAAACTTTATTTTAAAACTGGTGTGATGACATCCAAAGTACTATAGGAGTCGACAGCTGCACTTTATACAGCAATTGATAGAAAAAAAAAAAAAGATTGTATTAATGCTACAGTAAGGCACAGAAGCTGAGGTGGATAAGAGTTTTTTTTTTTTTTTTAATCCTGGTGCCAGAAACTTCCAAAAGTTAGGCAAAATATCACATTCATGGGTAAATCTAACACGGAAAAAAAAGCCACAATGGTTCACAAGCCATTTGCATGAAATTAAAGGACTAAAAATTAAAGACATTAAAAAATATATATATTTAAAGAGGAAAAAAGCTCAACTTCCACCCACCCCATTAATAAACAAAAATAGCAGCAGTTTTCTGGCAATTTCAGCCATTGCCTTCAAAGTGCTCAGTTTAATACCAAGCTGATCAGGTGACCCAGCTTTCTTACCCATCAGGTATTTCATAAGGTGCAAATATCTACCACCATCTCACGGTCTTAGAATACTCCAGTAACTCTGCCTTCATTTAAAAACTCCCCATTACAGAACCACTGTAGAGCCCCCTCCAAAGTGCCACAGGACTCTGCAGTATTTATAGATTGTGTAATATTCTAGGTCAGAGCTGAAGCCACATTTACTAGCATTTGACAGTATATGCACAACTACAGCATTGAGGCACACACATACACAATGCCAGAGAGATCACACAAGTCCAGTGCCCAGCACAAACACCAGTCCTGTGCCTTGGGGACACACGCTTGCTTTAATAGATGGTAAGGCTGACAGAGCGGTTCATCTTCTTGCCAATAATCCGAGACGATCTGCTACCGGCCTGAATGCTGGATCGGGTCAGGACTCTCTCCGTACACAACACCTTCTCTTCTGCAGCAGCTTTGGCTATTTGCGCCTTCTTCAGCTCCCTGAAAAGCCAAACATAAAACACAATCAGAAACAGATGGTAATGATGTTCTTCTTGTTTGTAAATCCAAATGTACAACTGTAGCAGAAGAGTCAGGAGAAACATACTTCTGAAGTAGGGTATTCTTGAACTTCTCAGCGTTGAGCTCTACACGCAGCTGATCAGCGCTCATCCTGGCAGCTGTGAGCAAAACTGGGTGCTTAATAAGAGAAGATGAAGAAGGCCTCTTTTCTGGATCCGGGTGAATCATCAGCTGCGAGGAACAAAAAGGTATCAGAACCTAACATGGCCCAAAATGTTTGTAGAAGCAATACCATCCAACAGTATGATATCTAACACAGCATCCACCATTAAACCAAGAAAAACATTTACCTTAAGTACACTTAAGAATTCCGCAGACAGCATTTGCGGTATCTGGGGTAGTTTTCCTTGCCGTATCTCATGCCACTTGTCGCCATTAGGGGGCAGTGCTTCTGCACCTGCAGCACTGACGATAGTCAGTGCTAGAGCAAATATATCTGCTTTTGGGAGGTTTCTATAGTCCTAAAAAAGAAAGTGTGCAAGTTAAGAAAATGGCAAACACTTAAGCAAATAAAAAGCTGACCTCCAAAACAAGGAAGTTACCTCTTGAAGGATCTCATTTGCCAAGAACCTGCTGTCACCCTCTTCAACTTGAGGATTGCTCACCCTAGTCACATGACCAAGATCACCTGCAAGACACCATTCAAATCAAAATCTATTAAACGCATGGCAAACAGTGGTAGATGCAGGCAATTAAGTTCTCAGAGAAACTCATTTATCATATTATTAAAAAAACAGATGTGTTACAAAAACACCTCCAGCACTACTGAAAACTGGCACTTCTGACAATTGTCAGAGTTACTTACCTATTTTGTATACAACACTTGCTGTTGCCGCATCATCTTCGTCTTCATCCTCGTCAGCACAAGCAACAGTCTTTCGCGATATAAAGATATTACCTGAGGGAAGGGAGATAAAGTATGAAAATCTGGCTACAAAGTTCAGTAGCACTGAGGAAAACACTAAAACTCAAACTTACTTGGCTTGATATCCATGTGAACCAGCAATGTAGAGTGAATGTACTTCAATCCACGGGCTACTTGTAAAAGCAGATCTTTCAGCTCCATTTCAGAGAGGAAACGCATGGCTTTACTGTTCTCCCTGATAACATCTGAGAGGGTACCGCCATTGCAGTATTCATTCTGTATCAACATGTGGTCATCTTCTGCCCATGCAGAATAATACCTGACCACATGGGGGTGCTGTCCGAGGACAGCGTGAGCATACACTTCTCGAAGTGCATTCTGCCTGTAGGGGGGAAAAGGGAGAAAAATAGAGTGAGAGACCATAAGCAATATGATACTTGGCAGAACATGAACCCAGTAACATTTGAAATACACATACTTACTCATCAATAGAACCAGCCAGGGGCTTCTTGGACCTTTTGATGGCATAGATGCAGCCGTCAAGTCTTTTCACACACTTGAATACCGAACCAAACTCCCCACAGCCAATCTTCTCCAATTCATAAAATTCTGTGGCATATCTGGACATCATGTTGTTCTCCATCATTGATGCCCTCTAAAACAGATTTGCTTTGTTAGACTCAGAACTGACAGAACTGAACAATGATGGCAACAAACGACTATGTATTTACCTTAGAAGGTGGGATAATTTCATCTTCACACTCCACGTCACTTCCTTCCATGTCCTCCCCACAAGAACTGCAAATAAAACTCCCGGTTAGAATCGCTAGGGGGCACTGAAGATCCCTCCATTTTATATTAGCGTAGTAATAGCAAGAAGGCCTCCAATAACATGAACAAAGATAAATAAATCACCATCCATTAACACACTTACTCATTCCAGTGTGTCCTTTTCCTGCTCTTCTTCTGCAGCGCTGCAGACTGTACGAGCAGCGAGTCCGGCGTGAACGGATTGATGTTAACCAGGGGTGCCTGGTTTCTTTGGCAGGATGGGAGCTTTCCAGCGGGGTCCACACCCCTAAAGAGTGCGACTCTGCGACTGAAGGATCCAACGCCCGCCGAGCTGGCTTTGGACAGCAAACTCTGCCAAGATGAAATGTCAGAAGAATGTCAGAAATAAAATGTCCGTGCACAGAAAGACCACAAAACACGACCGCAACATAACATTGTAAAGTCAATGAAATTTTTTTTTTCCCCTAGATAATAGTAATTTATATATTAGTACTACTGCTACTGAACCCACCATAACTTAACATAAAAAATCTGACATCTATTGAAATATCACAGCACCACAGGAATGCTATCAGAAAAGCTACAACTAACGTTTTTAGACAAATGGGGAATCGACATAGCGTACCTTTGGCGTGTGCGGCGTGTCAAAAAGTCGCAGCTTTCTGAACGTCTTATGGGGAGGCGTATCGGGGCAGTCAGGTATCGGCGAACTCGAGCCCTCTCTGTCCTCCCGACGGTAAAGTCTCTCCGGCGACCTTCTTCCGTACGCCTGACCAGCCTTCTTCGGAGAGGGGGATCCGAAACCGAATTCCTCGTCCCAGAACTCGGTGTCGTCGCGGTTCAGGGGGCTGCTGGCCTCCTCCCCGTCTGCCTTCTTCGTCCCAAGCCGTCGGGCTTGCGGAGGGGAGTCCATTTCTGTAAAGCCCGATTCCGCCCCCGTGCTGCTGTTGCCCTCGTCCTCCACCGGCTCGTCCTCACCATCACTGGGCGCAAAGTGTAATTTCTGCCGAACATCTCCCATCTTTGGAGACGAGCTATCATGCCGCCGACAACCGAGGCTCATTTTAACCGACGCTTTCGGACACCTCCAGTGAAGCTTTACAGCCGGCCAGCAAAACGCAAGATAGCCTCGTAAAAAAAGTAGCACTACCGTAACATTCCCCAAGACCCGTAACTAATTCCGAAGTATCCTTACTTTAAGTCACACGTCAACTTCTGTCAGTACCTGATGGACTACTGCTGGTTGTTTTCTTTGTCCTCCTCTTATACGTACAATTCAAGACGAGGTGATAAATGCTGTTAGATTACACGGTGCGAAAATCACACACCCCTTTCCTCCGTATAGAGATGAAAATGGCCGCGATCCTACAGTTCACAGCACTGTACACAACGCCAAGTCAAATTTCACGAAAAGTCCTCGATGCTTGATTTAATTATCCACACAACGTGACGTCTTTCAAACGTAGTTAAATCCTTTCAGATGAACCTCTAACTACCCTCTTGTTTACAAACTTTACCTACTTAAATAGGTATGAATGAGAAGCACGCCCGAAATCTTAAAACTGGCTTCCCGCGACCGTTGGTCAGATGACCTCACGCTTAACCAATAGGAACGAACCTAGTGGTTTTCAAACAGTTGCCCGAAGGTCACATGAGAAGTCTTACGTCACCTCTACGGTTCTAAAGGCTTACGTCAGTTTGGCGCGAATTATTTCTTTTGATATGTAACATCTTTACGGGCAGTATCGATTGCAGGTGTGGTGCCTTTGAAGTTGGTATTGGCCTTTTGTCGGCAAAGATTAATCAGTTATATGGTACGCTTTTGAACAAAATAATTCGATGAACGCAGAAATGAACACAAAATAATTGGATAAACACAATATCTAATTATAAATGACTTTTAATCAAGTTAATATACTTATGTTTCTGTAATAATCAACCCTATTTCCTCACTTCGTGGGGAAGGTCAGACCATTGTAAAATCGTCATTTTAGCATGCCGAGCAGGTCAGACCAGACATCGGTTTTTGACCGCAGTTAAGTTTGTAGTTAGCGATTCGGGATTCCTTTTAATTTATCTCGACAGTGCGGGGAGGTACACAGTGGCATTTTGAAACCGACCGCAGCCACAGAGTCTAGCTTGTTCCGAGGGTCTCATAGACGTGTACAAGCAGGGGAGGTACCAAAACGAACAAGTATACCTATTTTAAATTAAATTACAAATTAAAATGAGGTCATTATCCGGATGTCACTTGTTCGTTCACTCACGTACACCTAGATACCAGATTAATATAAATACACGTAGCCGTATTGGCAACGAGAAGTTGACTTAAAACCAAAAAAATATTGTGTAAATAGGATAGTACACAAAGATTTATTTCATGGAACATAACCGAACCAATCGGTCTTACGGTTACTGAAAAGTATATAATCATTAAAGTGTTCATAGTAACATAAGTACATGTACGGTGACTGAATTCTCTGTGTTACGTGGTCAGGTACGTCTCTCGAAACTCAATTACGGTAATTAAGAATATAAACGTCTTCTTAACATTTTCTATCTTTAACGTAGTTTTGGATAATTATGCCGGTTGACAAAAAGGCGGTGAAGATCAATAAGACTGCAGTTCTTTAATTTTACACATCCAACCTTTTTCCATCATTTGAATATTAGCAAATGTAAAATATAACGAGGATGTGAAGCTTCAAATTCATATATACACCCAGCATGGTTGTCATTCAAGAAAAAAAATTGTATCAAATTCCGAGAAAGCAGTGATCTGTCAGTCCAAGCATCAATGCGTCAGAATTTTCACATTTCATCGCTTTTAACTATATGTTTACCCGGAACACATATATTAAAGATGTGCAGTTACAAGATACATCCAGGAAAAAATCATTTCCATTCAGTTTTGACTTTATAGTGAAGCCTGTGAGCAAGCAATCTCTCAGAAGTATTATGATTCCTCTCCGCTCTGTGTGGTCTTTGTTCCAAAGTCCTTCCACCAGAACAGTCTCTGCTGTTGCATCCGCTGCTGGGTGCTAATCATCCAGACCAGGAGTTTCTCCTTGCTGTATTCTTGAGGCGATTCTGATGGCTTCTTCCAAGGATGGCTGTTCGCTGAGCTGCACAAACACAGTGGAATGCTGCTGAGGTGGGAATCAATCTCCCCACCCTCTGCAAATTTTATCAGTAGCCCCCCCCCCCCCCCCAAAAAAAAACCCCAAAACCCTCATGTCACTCTCAATGTTTGCCTGAACAACAAACAAATCGCACCTTTGTTTAATGAGTCTTAAGTCTACAGAGAATAACAACATTCCCTGATTGGGGCTCACTGGGATGATTAATGATTAATCTTGTTTACTTTGTTGCACCCCACAGTCACTATTAATAAAGAAAATGAAGTGATCAACAGAGAAAAAGCACATTAGCACTCTGCTCCAAACATAATAATCAGCTGACTGATTTGATGTTCAGAAACAATTTAATCTACATGATAATGGTTTCCTGAAGTAGTAACAATGCACTTATCGGCAGGAACCTGATCTAATTCCACACAAACAGATCTATACCAAAGTGATAAAAAGGGGCAATTTATGATGATACCATAAACCCAGCTACACAGAGGAAACAGTTGCCAAATTTAAACAAGTTAGAGGAAACAAGCAAAAATATGCTTTGTTGTTTTCATACAGCAATAATACTTTTAAGCATGATGTCCTTGGGGTAAGAGAAAAGTACACCAAGTAACAATGGAAACCCAAATACTCTCTCCATTGTTCCTGAACTATCATCTCAACACACCTGCTGCCTGTACTTTTGCAAAGAACAGTAATTTTAGAGGAGATAATGTTTCAAATAATCCATAAAAGCTCTAACAGCCAGCCTCTTACTGACTTGGCAAATACATTACAGCCCACTTTAGAGTCCGTAACATAATCCAAATAAGACCTTTTCTTCTCTGCAGTAAACTAGTCTTACTATTTTGGTTTTATCTAGCGGCAACAGCAAGTGTCTTACCTGTACTGCAATCTGCGTGCCGTTGGAAGTGGCTAGTAAGGTCACAGGGTGAGGACTGGCGGTTACCAGATGGTGCTGGTGCTGCTGATTTAGTTCTGCTTGCGTTGTTTGGAATGTGGCCAGATCCGGCGTCACGATGGCAACCTGCATCAAACATTGCAAAATGGATAAGATTATTAGTACACCTTGGAATTATTGCCACAAGCACCATACATACAAAATGAACATCTTTTCAACCGGTGCATGCAAAGGGAGAACTGGTCTGTTGAAGGATTTTATTAGGAAGTCATTACAACCTTCAGCTAGACAGATTTTCTGGGTGAGAGAAAACAAACCATGAAAGAAAGAAAGATACCTGTCCTTCGGTACCATCGGCTGTCACCATGGTGACAGAATGCTCTCCACCCGAGGATAGTATTGCCTCATGGGCAGGGACGGTGATGGTGGTACCATCCTGCGTTACCATGGTAATCGTGTTTCCCATTGCGTGCATATCAGCTTGGGAGATACTGACCTGATAAAACAGGAAAGCATCATTATGTACAAGCAATGCATTGCAAAGAAATTTAACGCCAGGCTGGCAACTCTGGGCACAATAAATAGCTCCTGTGCGACTCAAAATGACATGTTTCCTGAACAATAGATAACCATTCATATGCAGATAGTTTTAGATCTGCTTTGTCAGCTACTGATGAGCTTAATTTTCTAGGTACATTTATACTACAAAAGATGGCAACAAAGTACTAGAAATTTAGCAAAGACCTGTACTGTTTCTAGAAAAGTTACAAAAGTTACAAAAAAAAAAAAAAAGTAAAAAAAAAAGTTACAAAGTTAAATCCATGTCGGGGGGGGGAGGGGGGCACTTTGACCTAGAACAGTGTTTGTAAACTATCATTTCAATTAAAAAGACTTGGATTTCACTTTAGCCCTGAGTTCTTGCTGTGTGCTGATTGGTCAGTCTCCTATAATCATGCATGTGTCACTAATGTTAATGTGAAACAACTGGATGAGTCTTTTAATCAAGGGAACAAACCAGTAAAAGCACAAGAAGAATTGAACTAATTAGCCAAACACAGGAGCCTTTCAGCTTTAAAGTAGTTTGTAAAACCTGAAGTAGCTCATAGTGTCCCCCCTGACAGGGATTAGGTGGTCACCCTAAGCGAGGAGTAGCGACGTTTAAAAACCTGCTGCGTTCCATCTTGCGTGATAAGAGAGATTTGGTGTTGCCCTATGACCTCTGGGGTACCGGAAGACACTTGCTCAGATCCCGAGTCCTCCTCCTCCACCTCTGGGACATAGGTGACTCCAGGATCGTCGATGGCCTCTGAGTCACACAGGCGAAGGAAGATAAGTCAGATTAAAGGGGAGGATTGTTCAACAGAAAATTGGCTCATTTCCAACAAATGCAGACAGAGAACGGTAATAAATTTAGTCCAGACAGAAAATCAACACACCGGACCGCCAGGTGATTCATACTTTCAGCAAATCATTGCTTAAAATGGCCAGAACTACCGTGAGGGCCATTTAGGTATTATGCTGCTTATTAAATCATTCTTGACGTGTATCTTGACAATGAAGACTGGCCTAATGTATTTTTAATACTGCAACATCATCTACCAAGAAAATAAATATGAATTACATGGCACCTTAATTAAGCAAAATATTAGAGTTTATTTTGGTGTAAAAAAATTAAATGCAAATACACTGTATAACCCTCAGAATCCTTATTAAGCAATTTCACTTATTGGTTATTTACTATTGGTCAGTCACGAGTGTGACATTCACAGTATCTATGGCAACAGCACACATGTGACAGGCTCGGGCTGACCTGCTGGGGGCTCGAAGTAGGCCTCCTGCTCCTCCTCGATGGGCTCCGTGTCGTTGTGAGCCGTGCGCTTGTGCATGGCCAGCGTGGAGATCTGCTTGTAGGTCTTGCCGCAGTGGTTGCAGTTGTAGGGCTTGCAGGGCGTGTGCACCACATGGTGCTTGTAGAGGCTGGAGTACTCGGTGAAGCGCTTGTCGCAGCCCGGCACCGTGCATACGTACGGCTTCTCTCCTGGAGACGACGGGAGAGATGCAGTTCATAGCCCATCTCAAAAGTCAAGGGTCTGGAATCAACCTACAGTCTTCCCCATCATCATCATCGTATTGTACATATGGTATTTATTGCGACATTCATTCCATTAGCATGCACTCCTGCATTTTTTGTACATTTATCAAATCTCACTAGCATAAATCTTCTGGACTGGATGTGATCATCATCTTGTTCTAACTGCATATGTATCTGCTGTATGTATGAGAGCCATTGACAACCAGAGAAAAATTCCTTGTCTGTGTCAACACACTTGGCCAATAAACCTGATCACATCAGCATGCATGTTACGATGACGTGTTCCAGCTTGTGGGTGTTTCTGGTGGAGAAACATGCATTAATGCTTGTAATGTTGGCAGGGGCGTAGCTGGAAATCTTGGGCCCTTGACAAAATGTCACCTTGGGCCCCCCCCCCATTTGGCTTGGCACTTTCAATCAGAAGACAATCTGGAAGACTTTGGAGCCCCTACAAAGTGCTGGGCCCCTGAACCCAGGGTATCCCTGCCCCTCTAATGCACTTGAAGCTGAATGTTGACAATCTTCTTGGAAGGAAGGTAAACGAAAGAAAAGAACAAACCAAAAACAAAGACAAGTGAGCAAATGTACTCTCAGTCAGTAAGATGATGTCAGTGTGTAAACACTGGTCTGAGAGCCATTTTCCTAAAACAGGGACTTTACGCACCTGTGTGGATCCTCATGTGGTTCTTGTAGTTGGTGGCGCTGGCAAAGGCCCGTCCGCAGCCCGGCTCGGAGCAGTAGTAAGGCCGCTCCCCCGTATGTGTGCGGATGTGCACCTTGCGGATGTTGGAAGTAGTGAAGGAGCGCCCGCAGCCCTCAAACGGACACCTGAAGGGCCTTTCGCCTACGGGGCGAAGACGGACCACTGTCAGAGCACTCCGGGACAGACAGCTTCCCACATGAGGTCATAAGATCAACACCCCAGAGATCTGTACCTGTGTGCGTTCTTATGTGCTTCTGCAAGTCTCCTGATGTTTTGAAGGACTTATGGCAGTTCATCTCCTGACAGCGGTACGGCTTCTCCCCAGTGTGTGTCCGAATGTGACTCTTCAGTCCATAGCCTGGAAAAGGGAGCGAATGTGACAAACCCAAAAGATGGACCCAGGTAAAATACGCAAACAAGATGATAAACAGGTCAAGCTCAATCTGCTCACCTGTGGCAAACTTCTTTCCACAGCCCAGATGGTCACACATATAAGGTCGGTCCCCTGTGTGTGATCTCTCATGCACCTTGACAAAGAAACAGTAACAATTTCTAAAAATAACTTACTGCAGCAGATACAAGCTACTATACCGAACCAAACAATTTTTTTACAGGAGGAGTAAGATAAATTAAGCTTTATTAGCCATTTGTACAGTACGAGTAGTACGCTGGAATGCTTCTTTTCACATATCCCAATTTGTTCTCCGTAAAGATATACACAGAAATTGTACAGGGGGTTAAGGGTCTTGCTCAATAGATGTAACAGTTCTGCTGGGCATGGGATGATCACAGATACAGAAGCCTAACCCGCTGAGTCACACCGCCCCCCCCCACCCCGTGTGTGTGTATATATATAAAGTTAGGGTTATTCGGCTTTCGGGTGAAATTTCAGGATGAACCTAAAATGCACTATAACCTTTACAGGTGTACTTAATGTGACCTTCCCTGAACTTTTGAATGCACATGTCCAACTGTTCAGTGTTTCAGTACTTTTTACACAACTTGCTATTCTCTAACAAGGAGCTTAACGGCAAAATTCACAACAGGTGTTTGATCCATGAATCGACCAATAAATTTCCCGGTTCAATCAGAATTGGTTTATAAACAGTCCTCCTCATCATGCTGTTCACGTTTTGACATCATGAGACCAAGACGACACCTAACAATTGAGCAACAGAACCTCACCATTGCGAAGCTTCAAGCAGGATGTTCTCAGACAGAAGTGGCCACTGAGCTTAGAGTGTCACAGAGTGTCATCAGGAGGTTGCAACAGAGATACAGAGAGACTGGAAGAGTCACAGAAAGGCATAGAAGTGGATGTCCTTTGGCCACATTCCATACTGATGAGCGCTTCATTGTGAACGGTGCCCTGCGGAACCGGATGATGAATGCCACTCAACTCCAGGCACATTTAAGGGAGGTGAGAGGCACCCACGTGTCACGTCAGACCATTCGAAAGCGTTTACATCAGCGTGGTCTGCGTGCTAGACGACCTGCAAGGGTACCTGACCACACCACCAGGCACAAGCGTCATCATCCTGCATGGACCAGGGAGCATTTAAGCTGGACGAGGGACCAGTGGGCCTCAGTGCTGTTCTCTCATGAAAGTCGATTCATGCTGAGCAGAAAAAATGGCCGCCAACGATGTTGGAGATGTCAAGGAGAGCGCTAGGCATCAGCCACTGTTGTCACCAGACGAGCCTTTGGTGATGGTGGAGTTACAGTGTGGGCAGGTGTGTCTAGTCAATACAGAACTGCCCTACACTTTGTGAATGGTACAGTGACAAGCCCACACTACCTGAATAACATCATTAATCCAGTCATTGTGCCCCTGCATGAACAACACAGGCCTAATTTCATCTTCATGGATGCCAATGCTCCAGCTCATCGAGGTCGCATCACTAGGGAACGGCTGCTGGAGACCGGGGTACCTCCAATGGAGTGGCCTGCACTTTCTCCAGACCTGAATCCCATAGAAAGCCTATGGGATGAGCTGAGTCGCCGTGTAGAGGCTCGTAACTCTGTACCCCAGAACCTCAATGACCTGAGGGCCGCCCTTCAAGAAGAGTGGGATGCCGTGCTTCAGCAGACAATAAGCCGACTTGTGAACAGCATGATTGTCAAGCTGTAATGGTGCTCAGGGGCACATGACACGTTACACTCACCACTGTTGTTGGCTTTTGTTTCAATAAATTGTTTGAGGTGAGGAAATCACCATTGCATGCTTCTACTTCAATGCCCTACTTTCATGATATAATATCACTGTAGTGTGAACTTTTTACGTTTTCCATAAATTTCACCTGAAAGCCAAATATCCCTAACTTTCTGTGAGTACTGTATATATGCATACATATATATACACACATACACACACACAGCTCTGGGAAAAATTGAGGGACCCTAGCAAAAAATTCAGTTTCACTCATTTTGCAATTTATGCATATGAGCCTGTGTAAAATATAAATTTTTCTGCAACCTTCAGCCTTGCTCTTCCTTGCTTTTCATTAATGAAGGGCTTCTTCCTTGCTTTATGGGTCTTCAGTCCTGCTTCTAGGAGCCTGGTACGAACTGTCCTAGCACTGCACATCACACCTGCACTTAATGTTTCCCATTCCTTTGGAAGGTCACTAGATGTCATCCTCCGATTCATGAGGCATTGCCAAATAAGTTGGCTGTCATCTCTGGCATTAGAAAGTTGCTTCTGCCCTCTACCTGGCTGGTTTTTGGTCAATGCCAGTGGCTCCTGCTTCATCTTGTTCTTGTGTACTGCAGTCTTAGAAACTTTGAGCCTGGAAGCAGCCTGCTGCACCAGCAGAACCAGGATTAAACCAGGATTTAATGTAGATTTAAAAAAATATATAGTGGTCTCCTAATTTTTTCCAGAGCTGTATATATTAGGGGTGCAACGATAGACAGTATGTTAGCGAGCCCCTGACAGTTCGATACGCACACGAGAACCGCGGTATTACAACATGCCAGTCATTTTCTTATATGTACTGGTATAAATAAGACTTTTTTTCCAAAAAATGCACCTAAGAAATTACGGTTGTGTTTCTTTTGAGGGCTAGAATTTAAATGTCATTATAGCAGACAGTGTAAAGGACCTGCCTCTTGGCAAAAGGTAGCCACATACTTCCAACGTAATCACCGTCGTTTCAGCTGTACGACCTTTTATGAGCGGTTATCCCACCGACTGTCGACCATTGGCTGACGTAATGTGACGCCATGGTGTTGGTCAGCAGCCAGCATGCTATGTAAGGCACCAAGCGTATCTTTAAGTGGTGTAATATGTTTGTTCCTGTATTGGTTCCTTGTGAATGTTTGCCGTGGAATGCGTGCATTTCGTTAGCATGTACTGTGAGAAAACTGTACCGTTACACCCCTCTACTATATAAATAAGTTAATTTTAAATACGTGTGTGTATACACACACACACACACACACACACACACACACACACACTCGGGAAAAACTTGTCCGACAATTTCTCATAAATCGGAGGATGACATCAAGTGACCTTCGAAAGGAATGGGAAACATTAAGTGCTATGAAGTGCACTGCTAGGACAGTTCATATCAGGCTCCTAGAAGCAGGACTGAAACCCATAAAACGAGGAAGAAGCCCTTCATCAATGAGAAAGGGGGACAACCAGATTGGAGTTTGCAAAAAAGAAAATTATTCACAGACGGACACCCATAAATTGTGAAATGAGTGAAACAAAAAATTGTGCTGTGGTCTCAACATTTTCCATGGCTGTACACCTGTAACCCCCCCCCCCTCCACACACACACACACACACACACACACACACACACAGAGTGAGACACAGCCTTTACCTTCAGATGGTGGGCTGTGGTATACAGCTTCCCGCAGCCATCATAACCACATCGGAAGGACTTCTCCCCGGCCTGCTGAGCTTTGGCTGTACTCCGGCTGCCGGTCTGGCTCTGGAGGACGATCTGACAGAGCAGAAGCAGAGGTTCGAACGCGGACGTGGGAAGAGCATGGTCAGAGCGGTCCCACATCAAGGCAGCAAAGCATCTTGGGGTCATACCTGCATCTGCATGCTTCCATCGGTCTCCGTCCCACCAACTAGCCCTGCGCTGGTCACACAGTCAGCGCTCTCCACCTGAGGCATGACAGACCAAGCCAGACAAGTCAGCTCCACTAGCAGAGAGACCATGGTGCAACTTTCAGGAATGTTCATCAGAACCAGGAGCACGCTTAATCAAACAGTCTAAATACGGCAAGGAATTGATGCGATTAGCATGCAGCATTGTAGCATGTGGTCATTGCTTGACCTCTGACTTTTTTTTCCTGCACCCATCCTGTCCAAAGAGTACCTGGCGTGTTCTTGGCTAGATTGTCAGATGGAAGCAGTGGCCCACCTTGGCAGTGTACTGCTCCAGCACACTGATGGTCTCGGGGTCGATGGCGCTGTCTGTGTGTAGGTCAGACACGGTGCCGTCTGCCTGAATGGCCAGGATGGTGTTGGACTGGGGCATCTGCACGGCGTGCTGGATATACGCCGTGGTTCCGTCCTCCAGCTGCACCGCCTGCAGGGCGCTCTGCTCATACGCCTCTGAGCACACAGGGAGAAAAACGTTAGCAAATGGCAACTTGGAACTAATGTCAACTAATGTTCAGGAACTATGCATATCAATGTGAAATAAATTAATCACATATTCAAATAAAGATCAAAGTTTATGTGCACTACAGTCTATGCTGTCACTATATACACACTTGGTGATGGAAATTATCACACACCTTTAGAAGTGTGATGAATGTAAGCGGTCGTTCCATCTTCAAGTTGTACAGCCTGACCATCTTCAAGTCTGAGACTGTCCCCTCCTGCAATGTCACACAACAAAGTGCTCAATACAACCTGACCATCAAACATATCTACTCCACACAATGGTTAGGCTCATCACACAGACAGATTATCTCAACTACTCACATCAATAGTGTAAAAAGAACAATCACTCTCGAGTGCGTACCCGATTTTGGCATCGATACGTGCTGGACGTAAGCAGCAGATCCATCATCCAGCTGGATGACCTGGCCGTCCATCAACTTTCCATCTGAAATGGAAACTGTGCACCTCAGTCAGACTAAGCTCATCCCACAACTGCCACTAGGCATTTTAACGCTCACATTATCCCACATCACTATTAGTATTACAATATTTCAATCTTTAATGGCACTTGCTGCTATACCTGAGTTGAATTAACAATTCAGCACTGAAATAGACCATGCATTAAAAAAAATAAAAAATAAAAATCATGCAGTTGATTTCTATGAAAATGAACTAAATACACTTTTATGCACCATGTGTAGGATAGTATGCAGTTCATGCTAGTCTTGTGGGTAGAATTTGTCCGCTTACCTTTGGGGTTGTGTATATATGCTGTAGACCCATCTACAAGAGTCACAGCCTGCAGACTTACAGTGTCCATGCTGTCTACCTGATCACCGTCTAGAGGGGCAAAAGAGAGGGGTGGTGGCTCACTTACAACTGAGGACATGTCTACAGGCAGCACTGAAGTAGCCAGTGGCTGCAGAGCTGTGCTGGTAGCTAGCAGAAAGCTCACCTGCTACAGCGACAGCCTCTGCCAGACAGAGGGTGACGTGCTGGGCTTCCCCTCCGCCGCCCTGGAACTCCGCCATGCCCTGTGAGTCACGGTTTATCTGAGCCAACAGCATGATTATCCTGCACACAGACACACACACACGCCGCTCAGTCCAACTGCAGTCAGTGGGGGCAGACTAGCGCACCAGACAAACCTGGTCTCCAGCAGTGCCCACTGATGGTGCGTATAGGAATCGCACAGACGTGGAGAGTGAGCAGGGCAGTAGTAATGGTTTACTCATCACATTTGGTATTGAAATCATATTCCACTTATAGACACTGACCAATAGCTGACCTCAAAGAGACAAGAACAAAAGAAGTTGGGCTTTTACATGTGATTACTAGTTTCAAATGTCCTCATGTGACCCCATATTTTCTCACAGCCTTAGGCAATGCCCTCTGGCGGGCTGCAATTGAAGGCTGAGGCCAGATATGACGGTCCCTGGCCTCATACCGATTCAGCCGCTCAAACCACAAACCTGAAAAGCAGTTCAGTTATTCTGATGAAACGGGGCCATTGTTTGGAAACAACACAGAAACTGGCCTTACAAATGGCTTTCTGTTCATTCTAGGGCTTAAGTTCTCAGAGTACCAACAATACAAAAAGCTTCTGTGTATACGTGAAATAAGACCCACAGTAAAAAAAATTATCAGCCTCTCTTCACATCCGTTCACTAACAAATTACCAGAAGTGTGTCAAAAAGGCAATGCTGTTTATTAATCAATATTTTGTGTAAAATGCAAAAGTATTTGTGTGAAAATTAGTTGAAGCTTTCAATTGATAATTTAATCAAACAACTTTTTTGTATTAAAAACACAATTGTATGAAAAAGCTGCAGGTATGGTTTTCATTACAATCATGGGGAAAGGTTATATCAATAATAAATACATCATATAGGTTATGTCAAACCATTCAGTGAAAATGCACAATATGGATCTCAAAGATATGCAAGGGGGAAATCATTTTATGACGTTGGAGACCATATAAAGACAAAGCCACCTGCACGCCCTGTCAAAAAAAGGGGGGCATTGTATTTAGGCAAGGATTGTGTTATTTTTGTGCCATGGTAATTTTTAGCTACTCAAATATAGTCTTGTTAAAAAGTAATAACATATGGTATACAGAAAACGCTATTAGCCCAGTCTTCACTGTACTGGATACACCTAAATAAAAACACTGAAAGTGTCGCTGTAAAATAAACTAGTTTAACATAACAAAATGCCCGCGTTTTGCTGTTTTGAAAACGTCAGGTTCTAGTACCTGATTTGAACAATATGAATTTCAAGTAAGTTCATAGTAATTTTTCAACCGATTTTATCCTATCAACTATGTATTCCGGGATTTAAACAGGAAAAATTAAATGTAAATCACTAAACTATCTAGACACCTGATATACTGTACGGGTCTACGAATAAAACGCTTTAACGGTGCCCTTGGTTTTAAGATTGACGATTATATGTATCCGCTTTAAAACCGAATGCTTAACATTACGATGTTGAAAAGATTAAACTAATATGTATACATTATGTGCTACGCCATTAGTTTAAAATTAAACAAATAAGCACCAAGCAATTCATAAGATTAACAGTAAATGACAGTTCTATGCCTGTGTATTTTTGAAATTAGCTTAGCCACATGGCTAATATATCGCCAGGCAGCTACCAATTTAGCGAGAAAAATGCATCAGTGTCTAATATTAATCGGTTACTAAAACGGTGCACTGATTAAAATGTTTTGAAAGGGGGTCGGCACCACATTTCGGCTCCACGCCGAAACGCCTGGCTATGGATAAGGGGGCTCCTTTGCGGAGCAGGCAGCCAGCTGCGCTCGGTTAGCCACCTTCCTGCCTCCACCTAGCCGATGTAAGCTAACGTTAGTGCTAATTTAGCCGCACGCTGTGCCTGCTGTCGCCGAGTTACATCCTAAAACTTAACGAAAACGCCCATCTATCTCCGTTCCATCGACCGCCGGCCTAAAGCTCAGCCATCCGCCCCGCCGGAAAGTGAAGCGATACATAGAGGCAAATCTAAATAACTATCCACAACGGCTAGCTAACAGGGATGCAAGAATCCATTAATTAATAATAAAACATTTTCGAGTTGCATTCCCTTTTATTATTTTGTTAATTCCGTAAGCGCCCGTGGCACTCCCCATCTCCAGCAGCCCTCTCCACTTTTCCCGCTGGAGATGGCTCTTTGAAATAAGGCACACTGGGTAAAAACACATTTATATACTAACCTAAATTTTCCAACAATTCCTTCGTCCGACCACCATGCATCAGGGCAGGAAACGTTCTGCGTCGGCGGCACCCTGAAACATGTATGGAAATAACGGGCGCTCGTGACGAGGGCGGGCCCATGCGAAGCTGGAGCATCGATTGGCCCAAAAAACTAGAAACCGCTATATCAACCATCTTATTGGGCAGTGAAGATTTCATTCATTCAAACCGTCGCCTGTGCCTGGATTTACACAGATTTAGGGGCATCGATAGGTCGCCATTCTGGTTTACGGTGAGTTCATGTTTGAAGAGTGTTGTGAAACATGGGAAACTATGCCCAAACCCAAAGTCAAATTTGTTCGTTGGGGTAGATATGATTGTCACCTGTATACATAATCTATGTAGCCACGTTAAAACGCTCACGTAAGCTTCTGTTATCTTGTAACGCGCGTAAAAACAGTTACGCGTCCATGACTAGGAGTAGCAGCAGACGGCCATTTTGAGAGATCCGAGGCGTAGATTGACAGAGCAAGGTGATGTGGGCAATGCAGTGAAACAAAGCCTAAAGCACCCGCGTCTACGGCTTCGACAACCTTACGGGCTCATTGCGTCTTTAAAAAAAATAAAATATCGATTAACTGTTTGCTCACCATTAAAACGCATTAACCCTCTTCCGCGTGGGCTCACGTCAATCTGTATCTGTCTTGTAGCAATTTTGTAATATGTACTCCGCAGGCCTGAGGTGTTACAGCGTTAGCCTCGGCGCTAACGACACGTCAAATTAGCTGCATGCCTAAATGGAGGCCTTGGGTTTTGCCAGAAGCAGAAGTAAATAAAATCAGCAGCATCAGTCATATTAAAAGTAGTCAACAGTGCAGTCGTTACTAATAAACATTGTTTGCATATAGCCCTTTCTATTGATACAGATTTGTCTTGCTTTACATTTACATATTTCATGCTGTATGGGTAAGGGACAGTGCGCAGATGGGTGTAAAGTTTCAGATTTCTCTATCACAAAGTATAACTGCACTAATAATTGCAAGTGCAAAAACGTTATTTTCAGTAATCAATGACTTACTCTCCATCACAAATGTATACTTCCATAGGCATCTTGTTTCAAAAATTTCAGCACTACACTGTGCCTGCCATTTACCTCGATTTCAGCTACTAAAGCCTGCATTGTATTCACCACCATTTCAGTGTAAGTTACCACTCCATCAGTTTATCCCAACTCATTTTTAATATATTGTTGTATATATAGATGGTTTATCCATACATCAACCAAATGCTAGAGCTTCATGGTAGTCCAATTGTACATGCTTCAATGAAGTATTCAACCGACCTTCACTGCTTACACCACAAATTGGGTCGTATCCAAAGTGAACACCAAGAGCATTCTTTTTTTTTTCCAGAAACCCAGAGTGTTGCCATTTTAGCGGAAAAAGATGCCACTGACTACTGGACACAGTAACTGAGTACATTACAATTAGCCATAACCACAAGTTACCTGCAGAGTAACAATGTTACAGCCATTTTTTTTTTTTTTAAATAGTCTCAAATGATATTAAAAATCTGCAGTCTGAAACAAGAGGCCGGGAGACCTGAACAATATGAAAAGTGCTAGTCATAAATTTACAGATATCAGGCATCACGTAGTGCTATGAAGTATCCAATATGCTACATATGAATACACTCGCTCATACCTTCCAAATGGCAAAGGGTGTTCAAGCCAGGCTCCTACAGAGTCCTGGCCAATATACATAACATGGGCATTTGTTAATGCAGTAAATGTAGACAAACACTACTTCCACAGGTATAAATTTAAAGGGTGCCATTCTAGCCTATACCGTGAGACTGAATTAAACATTTAGTCCTATAGTCAATTGATCACCGTATGTTTTTGCCTGCATTTTGTTTAATGGTGAAAAAAAAGCTGCCGTCATGGTATCCTATCCAGACTCCATATGACAACGTTGTTCAGCGCTTTGTTTTCAATTCTTGCTTCATGTTCAAGTCCTTGGTTAGTTTTCCCAGCCATTGGTTGCATTTGGTTGTCTTCTCACATCTTCTGGTGCTATGTCCAAGTAAATACAGTCAAATTGAAGAGTGAGAGAGAAGAACCAGTTCTGAAACCACTACTTGAGGGACAACACAAGCTTTTTCACTTCACTACAATCAGTCACAGAGTAAGAAAAGGAAAGGGGTTTCAATTCATTCCTGGAGCACTGCCTCCGAAATTGAAGTTGGTTGGCACCACAGGGGCTGTGAACTTGTATCCGCCGTGCTTCTCAATCATTTTTGATTCTGGAACCAAAGACCATTAAAATTCTTAGCAACCAGAAAACTCCTAGTCATTTTATATTAAGCATCAAAGCAGAAGAGAAAAGTACCGTGTGCAGCCCGTCTCTGGTCTGCAAGTGTGCCGATATCCTGAAGCTGTTTTCTCTGCTCTTCATCTAGAGTCTGTATGAGCGCCTGGTACCATGCTGGGTCACGGCTCTGAATATCTGAAATGGAAGCAAGAATGAAGCTCTAGGTGGATACTTCAGAAAGTCATTCTTGCTCCTTTCATCAAAATTTACCATAAGCTTCTGTTATTTGAAGATACTTTGCCTTACTTTGCAAAATCACTTTGAAGATCTGGTACTCGTCCACTGGGTTGTCCTCATCGTCTACAGCGGTAGTATATCCTTCGAGAGCAGTCTCCTCTGCATCATCCTCCTCCCAATCCTCATCATCTCCATCCTCACCCGCCTGCTTGGCTAGCATCTCCAAGTACTCCTGGCCCTCCTCATCGATATCATCCTCATCACTGCCAAGCTCCACTACAAAATTAGCACAATTATCGCAATCAACACAAGTTTAAGTGTTCGCAAAAATACACAAATGGTTATTTACAACTCGTTTCATGATTTCAATACATATACACAAGTTGGCAGCTCCAAATGGGTTTCAGGTTTAATTTTGGCCTATCTGACCTACCATTTTCCTCGTCGTCCTCTCCATCCTCGTCGTCGTCGTCGTCCTCATTCTCGTGCTCCGCCCTGCACGCATAGGCCCTCTTGAGGCCACTGAAGAGCAGGATGGCAGCAGGAAGCAGCTGTCCAGCCACCTGGTTGACTGCTTGCGGTCTCTGCTCCAGGTCTATGAGGGCGCACAGGCCCAACACGCACATTTTCCTGTCGTGTAGTCTGTCAAAACAAACCCCACTTGTGTTAATATCGGGAAAATAGTATCCTTAACAGTAAAGTATTGGTGGAAATGTTAACCTAAAATACATGTATAATTTGAGTTTTAGTTTCCCATGATGGGGAAATGACCCCAAGGACTAGTATGAACTCATTCTGATGTCTAGAACATCTTGTGAGCAATAACCATAATGTAAGAGCAGTCTGACCCCAGGAAGCAGTCGACATCCTTCAGCCACTGTGAGATGAAGTGGTTGGTAATTGGTTCTGTGTTGTTGGGGAAGCGTAGATTCTCCAGTGTATTCAGCAGCAGCGGGGGGCTGTAGTAGAGGGCAGCAATGGCCACCTGCAGGCACATGGTCCTCAGTTCGCTGGTCTTCACCTCACGAGTCAGCCTTTCCAATGCCGTTGTCACAAAAAGAGGTACGACCTGTGAGGGTAAAAAGAAAAAAAGATATATATATATATATATATATATCAATGTATCCAAGGCAACGGGAAGCCGACTAGTAAAAGAGTGACCCAACTGTTTGACAGCAACAACTTGCCTGGTCAATGCCACGCCCTTTACATTGCAGTATGACGACCTCCAACAGCTTGGCTGCATTGCACTCAGGATCCTCCCCTGGATCCCCCGTCAAAATCTGGGGGGGGGGGAAAAAAAAAAACCACAAGAGGCTCAAATTCGCTTCCCAAAAAGGACACCAGACTTCACCTTCCAAGGACAGTACAGCCGGACAAATACGCTCCATTATATATACTGGCACCCAGATTGCTGAATGTGAAAGAGTGGATGAAAAAGGGAGCGGACACATACCTTCTTGCACATGCTATAGATCATTTCAAGGTATTTGGTGTCAGACAGCAATGTGTCTGTGTCGACTGTAACGTAGTTGTGCAGGAGAGGCATCATGTCTGAAAGATAAAAAGTAGTTATCAAGTAAGATTTAAATAGCCGGGGGTGATGGATGGCTTAGAATGTACTAAATCCAATCATCTCATAGCAGCTGTGCTGGAAACATTAGACCAATGAACCATAAACAGACACCATACCTGTGAAATAATCAAAACCATCCTGCTGGAAGACCTCAAAGACCAGCGGCAGAAGCTGCCACATCTGCGGGGACACTTGCTGACATGTCAGACTGTGGGCCAGAGATAGGATCTCCTCGTAGAACTCTAGAGGACCAAACACACAGAAACAGCACCGTAACGTAACACCGAAAGTGACCAGCTCTCATTTAAGTGCCAAAAGTACAGGAATTTTGTAGCAGGAACTTCAACACTCACCCAAGACATGCTGCTGAAGGACAGTTCCTATCACTTGAAGACAGATGCCCTCTAGTTGCTGGGTGATCTAGAACAATCAAGTCACAGTTTTGACTCAATTTGTCCCATTAGAGGGAACCATACATTACTTGTCACTCTACAAAACACATTGCATATAGACTTTGCACACGGATGGAGACACTTTAATCACTGCCTTGGATAGTACAGAAAACACAGTACTGTACCAAACTTGGAAAAAGGAGTCAACATGAAATAAGACACACTGCACTGGTGTCTGCAGTAATGATTAATGTTGCCATGAAAATTTTGACAAAGGATCACAGTTTGATGTCATGGCTAGGGGTATGCAAAAATATATTTTTTCCCCCAAGTCATCGTATTTAAAAAAAACTGTCCGATTCATATTGATCTGTGAAATTCATGGATCAACCCTTTTCTGGTTTTATAGGTTAATATCCGCAATAGTTACACAGGGGTGTACTGGACCGTATTTCAATGCAGATTTCAGTGCCTCATTTTGGTGTCTAATTTCAGTGTTGATTGACATATTTGCCCTCTGGTGCTCATCCAACAGGAGCATCACCGCACCTCACGGGCCGTCGTTAGTTAACGTTACACTTGCTCTGATGTCAGTAGATGCGTTAGTGAATAGCTACCTTAAACAAGGTTTTCCCCCAATGTAGCTTGATTTGTGGATATAATAATGCATTTTGATCACTGGACTCTTACGGAGGTACAAAGACCAATGTCAGCACATTTTGAGAGCTGGGTGCTTTGCTATATATGTAAATAAAAAGGAAGGCACATTTTGATAAGTATGATATATAATATTTGTGTGATATTTTGATTGGAAAATGTAAAATGGATATGAAGTTTCATGTTCAAATTATTTAAAAACAATGAAAAAAGTTACATTTGTTTAGAAACTGTTCAGGGAAGAGGTCAATACAATAAAAGTCTGCATAGTTACAAACCTATGTAATCATGTAACAAGATATCAGCCAGATGTGCAGGCCTAACCCTTCTTTCAGAGCATGTGTGAGGACCCCTCTCTCCATGCAAAAAAAAAAGCTTTTGACCAGCTATTCTTTTTAGTCTGTTTGCACTTTGAAAGGAGGCAGGTTGATTTTGTTTAAGGAACTATACCTCTGTCCCTCAAAAAAAGGTTTTGGTATACAAGCTTTTGGTCTCTTTAGTGGTTTTCAGTTTTTCCCAGTGACTCTACATTTATAGATTCGTGATTGATGTAGACCTTTTTAAACAGCTCTACAAATATCGAAAACCATTACATAGTATTCCATATCTCATTCCCATCGAATTGATATTGAATCAGAAGCGGATCAAATCGTTAGCTTGTGAATCGGAATCAAATTAGGGCATCAGTGCCAAAACCCAGCCCTAGTCACGCCCATGTTCAGCCTTCAAAAGCAGTATGAGGAAAAGATTCAACCACATTTCCTAGAGCTCCAGGGGGTAGCCAGAAAAAAAAATGGCAGGAGGAGAGAGGAAGCAAGTGCTGGGGAGAGAAGCGTGGACTTTACTACTGAGAGCACGTTGCTACACTAACCTCTTTGTGATCCTCCACAACACTGAGCAAGGTGTCAATGGTGTTAAGGATACCCATGGCTGTAACAGCCTTGTCATCACCGCCCTCCTCATCAGGGCCCGTCTGGATAACCTGGTTAAAGGTCATGGCCTGTGGAACAAATGAGCAGACTGGTCATATGGGTTTCATCTTCAGTGACATCATCACTTACATCATCGGAGCTCTAAAGCACAGTACAGCAGTTAATGGCTTGCATAATAATCTGATTACACAGGAAATGGCAGCTCAGCAATTAACATTCGGCTGCCTCACCAGGTGCTGGGTCATCTCGACGGCGATGGGCGTGACCTCCTCGCTGTACTCGCAGATCATCTTCTGAATGACGTTAGTGAGGTCATCGTTCTCCGTCTCCCGCACGATGTGGAGGAGCGCCTGCATCACCGGCCGGATGAACGGGGTGATGTATTCCTTCGCTGCGGGCAGGCAGGAACATTTAGTTCTCAGTTCTCCACCGAATGATGTCCATCGATCCAACCTTAACACTGTGCTCTCAAAGTACTTTAGTGGGACACCATTATATTTAACAGTGATCCCCAACAGACATACTGCACATTATCAGATTTGAGCAAAGTTTGGAAAAAAAAAGCAACACTTACGTACACCATTAACCATTACTAGTTACTTAAGAACCACTATAACCTGACAGTCATATACTGCATAACTGTCCTTATATTCCAACAGCTGGTCTGTATATATCTGCCCAACTACCTCCCACAGCAGCAAATTTAGCTTGTAAAATAGCCTTAATGCCTTTGTGATTATGAACGGCAGAGCGGAAGCATTCCCCGCTGATGCAGCTCTGATCTCAGAAAGTCACCTTTTTCCTGGTTGCTAATGAGCACTTGCAGGGCAATGGCTGCCTCCACCTTGACAGGCATCTCATTGTCGTTGATCAGACAGAGGCGGGTCAGCTCGAGGGCCGTCTGCAGGTTCTGGTCGATCTTAAACTTCACCTCGCAGAAGTAGTGCAGGACCCAGCAGGCCTGGGATCAAAGGGAACACAAAGTCAGGAGCCTGATATGTCACTCGCACCAGCTAAAGAACCGGCTCTTTACGTCACTAGTGCCATTTCCACTGACCTACATTTTGAAGACGCAAACTGAAACGTTCAAATAGTGCAAAAGAACATCCCAAATATCACAAAAAATGTGTCCGCTTGTGTTTTTACAGCGAGTTGGAAAAGTAGTAAACCACTGAACTACAATGGTAATTTGTGGAATTTGCAAATTGGTAGATACGTATAATACAAATCTTCCAGAGGTCCTCATGGAAACCCATGGAAAGCCTACTCCACACTGAAGTACAGGACATGAATCTTTATCTCACAGGATGAAAGGAAAGTATGACATCATTAATAGAAACATGGAATTTGCAATTTAACTCTCAACATTGAAAATTAGCTTGTAATTTGCACACTTTAATGAAAACACAGTGACTTAAGAGTTCCACTAACAGGCAGCTGCAATGCAGAACACATGAACTACACTCACTGAAAACTATGACAACAGTTTACAAGTCACGTCTCCTTACCCTTGCCCTCATATAGCCCAGTTCGCTGTGGAACAGTGGGAAGACATGATTCTGTAACATAAACTCCATCTGGTCCTTATAGATCTTTTTCTGGAAAAAAAAAGAAAAATTGCCATGTTAAACCAACGTGTGTGTGTGTGTGTGTGTGTGTCATATATATATATATATATATAAAAATAAAAACTCATTGGACAAATTATCTTGACCCCAAAATGGCATAACTGATCTGATCGGCATGAATCTAAAAGGGCAGGCAGATACTTCACCTTGAGTAAAATTTCAGCCAGTGAGCCAATCATGTGCAGAGCACCATCTTTTTTCCGTGGGTCAGTGTTGGGCTCCGTGAGGATCTGATAACAAAAGCCCATGGTCTTCTGTAGTACCTGCAAAGTCAAGAAATCCATCAAGCAGCACATCAGCATAACTGCTCAAGCTAGGAATTTAGCTGGGGGTTGACTGGTTGGTTGCTTGGTTGGATGTAGGAGATTATGGAGGCTGGTCAGTGGTGGGGTGTCTGAGCGACATCACTAGACCAGTACTATGATCTCCAGTGTCTCTGTGGCTGCAGGTGAGGAGTGAGCACTGCTGTCTGTCTGTAAGACACAGACGGACAGCAGCACTATACATGGACAGACACCATACACTCCAGCCACCAACAGCCAGGCAGCCCTCGCTCAACGTCTACTTAGTCATGTCTGTCAGTGCACATCTGTATTAAAGTACTAGGCCTTGCTGGGCTACAGAAAAAAAAAAAAGAACTTTAGGACCAAGCAACAACAGGTAAATGAGGAAACATGGCAAACAAACACTAAGGTGCTAGAAGCCCGTTCCTGTACATACTTCTTTCCTCTTGTTGCATGACGTGAAGAGTAGGGTCTGAGCAGCTGTAGTTGGGGAGATGAAGTCCTCGAACACATCTATTCAGCAGGAAACGAACAATGAACCCAGGCTTCCTCTGCAGCTGGCAACCTAGCCCAGTGCTAATGAGCCTCATCAAGAACTATGAAGCATCATTCACAAATTCTCCATTTAACCATAATTAGCATCTTTTTGGGAGACATTAAGATTACAGTTTGTGCTGATATTAAAACCTCGTTGGCCAGAGCACTCATCCCTACCAAACTTCATGCGGATATATTCATAGGGGTCTTCCTGCCACAGCTCTTCATCACTGTCTGTGTAGCACATGAGGGGGAAGACCACGTCCTGAATGATGCCCTGAAAAGACGACCAAAGATTAACAGATACACACAACTTAAGCTGATCTCCACCATTTGACTTGCGTGTGAAGTAATTATGCAAAAACATCTCAGATACCTGGATGTGGGGCTTGAGGTTCTTCCAGGTGACGGCGTGCCCAATTCCCTGGTTTATGTAGTTGAGGGTCTGCTGCAGGACCCTGGGGGCTACGTATTGCTTTTCTTTATACTGATACAAGACCTTTAACAGCACCTGCCGACGAGAACCATACCCAGTCACTTCCCATTGAGTCAACCAGAACGCCAAGCAGCTACACACGAAAACTGAACAAACAAAAAAAAACTTACCTGCTGTGCAGCAACTGCATAGCCCTTGAGGAAGAGCTCAGCGAACTCTGTGTACTCTTTGGTGGTGTTTCCCGGGCTGCCATATCTACGACAGAGAGCAATACCACGATTTATCCGAACGCACCTCAAGCCAACCTCAAAGGATGCCTGAAAGCACTCAGCAAAGGCTGCACAGGTGGTGAGACGGGGAGGATCCTTGCCTCTCAAAAAGCCGGGCGAGGATGTGCAGAGCCCACTTCTTGGCCTTCCACCAGGGCAGCTCCGGCCGGTCGTCCTCGTCCACCTGCAGAGTCTCCTGCGGTGGGGAAGTAGAAACACAATCCAAACCTTCAGATTGATCAAAAAAATAAATAAATAAGGATTTCCGACCTCCATTATCCACACTCTCCCATTTCTTCATACATCAGTCTGATTCAGCTGTTTCAGCTGAAAGGGAATAGTTTTTAGTTAATTACAACATCCATATTACCGTATTGGCCTGAATATGAGACAACCCCAATTATAACATGACCTCCCCACTTTTCCGCAACTATTTTTAGAAAAAGTTTTCACAATACCAAATCTGACCTTTATTTAAAAAATATTTTTTTGACAAGATCATATAACAAGTTAACCAAGAACCACCAAAAAGCAGGCATTCGGAGTACAAGTGCATTAAACAGCCAAAGCTCCAAAAGTTTTCAATGAATCAGACCCACATGAAGAGGCTAAAAAAATATATTGCGCAGAAAGGTTGAGCCATATAAATAAATGATAAGATAGCTCAAAATTAATCTTACTATCCTTATTAACAGCCAGTATGGGCTTAACAGTAGCAGCGGCACAGCCAAGGAAGCCAGCAATTCACACGACACTCAGGGATACACGCTAAACACACGCATTGCCAGGGATGCCAACAATTCACACGACACTCAGGGATACACGCTAAACACACGCATTTCCAAGGAAGCCAACAATTCACATGATAGTCAGGGATACACGCTAAACACACGCATTGCCAGGGAAGCCAACAATTCACATGACAGTCAGGGATACACGCTAAACACACGCATTTCCAAGGAAGCCAACAATTCCCATGACAGTCAGGGATACACGCTAAACACACGCATTGCCAGGGATGCCAA